CAGAGTTCCTGGGGCAGCTTAAATGAGCACTGATTAATGTTTGTGGGGAAGCTTAAATGAGCGCTGATTAATGTTTCTGGAGCGTTGCAGACCCACAACTCGGCTCCCCAACTGCCTGTCTCTCTCTCCCCCCTAAGCTAAACCCCCACCGAGTAGGCTGAGGCCACCTTTTTGGGGAGTTTAAGGCAGGGGGGGTGGCTGAGACCCCCGACCCCTCGGTCCCCGTCCCCCCTCCCGGCCCCTACCTGGGGGGGCGGCGGCGCGGCCCGGGCGGCGGCCTCTTCCCCCGCAGCGCCCCCTGCCGGCCGCGGGGCGGCGGCGCAGAAGCCCGCCTGGCTAAAGAGAATGGACGTTATCTCCTCTTCTAGGCTCTAAACGAGTCAGGAAAAGGGAAAGGAAAGAATTAAAAAGAGCAGCCAGCTACGAAGGAAAGGTTTGGAGAGAGAGACAAGGTGAGAAAGAGGCGGATCGGAGAAGGCAGGAGGACACCGGACGGGACACAGAGCTGCTGTCATTGAGACACACGGTCGCGCTCCGATACGGCACCACACACATCACGGGGTAAAAATCACCAACACCAACATCTCCACGCATTTTCCAAACACAACAGCAATTCTCTATTTACTACTGGGATTTTTCCCATTTAAACATCCATTTTTAACACTTTCTATCGCCTAATTGGCTCAGAGTTTCAGGGCAGTCAGACAGTTTGCTTGGAATCATAAAATCATAGAATCATAGAATTGTTTAGGTTGGAAAAGACCTTAAAGATCATCCAATAACTTTGCTGTCTTTTTTCAGTTATCTTTAATACAGTTTTGAATAGGAGCATGAAGGAAATCTTGCTTCTAAATCTGTAACTATTAGGCCTTTAAGTTCCTTTTGATTAACTTCAAGCTTATACAAAATTTTGGCATTTATAAAGGTGAGACTGGAGCTACCCCATCACTAGTGGATGCTGGTTTTATAAATGAAGAGATGTTCTGATATGACTATATTCAGATAGGATATCTCAAGTACTTTTTGGTCACTTATTTTCACTCTTCTTTTGCACTTGCTTACATGTTGGATGGTTGATAGCTGAGCTGAGAAAAAAATCTTAAATCAGTTGGTGGCATGGATTCCGCTAATTAGCAAAAGTCAATTTAGCTTTTTTCAACATCTGAACATCTCAGTTAGTTATGGACCAGCTGTTGCTTTGTCCATGAACTCAAGATATAGCTGCGGTCATCTTTTCCCTCATAAAGAAAACAGATTAATAATTAGAATCATAGAATCATAGAATGGTTAGAGTTGGAAAAGACCTTAAAGATCATCCAGTTCCAACCCCCTGCCCTGGGCAGGGACACCTCCCACCAGACCAGGTTGCTCCAAGCCCCATCCAGCCTGGCCTTGAACCCCTCCAGGGATGGGGCAGCCACAGCTTCTCTGGGCAACCTGTTCCAGTGAACAATCCATACCCACAATGCTGAAATGAGATATCCTTCATAATATATGGGTTTTTTTTATATATATATATGTTTTTCAAATGCTTAAGTAACCAAAGGAAATTAATTTCTATTAAAGACTCTCTTATCCAAAAGTCTTTCCCATTCTACTGGGAGAAGCTGTTTTATTCAAACACACATAAAAGAATACGTTGCTTTAAAGCATAAATGAGGTTCATAGTCTGGTCTATTTTCTGTTGGGCTATAAATCTGTGTGGTAAAACAAACCTGCACAGTAAAACAAACTTTTAACATTCACGTGGGTACAGAAGCCTCTGAAAAGGCCTGAAGTCTTTATTCCAGTTTTCCTTCCAGGAGCTCTTGTATAAAGTTAGAAGTAAAAGCAGTTAAAATAAAAAGTGAAGAAAGTCACAAATAGCTAAGAGGGACATAACACACATTTTGACAACATTCAAGAAGATTCATTTCCACATGGACTCTCCGTAGAATCCGAAGAGACAGAAGCTGCGCAGACACTACACCACACGCATACAGCATGCAAAGAACAGAAAAGGGAGAGAAAAAGAACCCCTATATTTTTTTTCCCTGCAGTAAAATATTTCAAAGGTGGCACAGAACATTTAATGCACCCCTAAATATCCATCGGGGCGATGTGTCCCTCACCCCCACTTCCCTGCACCCAATAAATGCTCATGATTCTCCTTCTACCAAACTCTGGCACCATGTTTTTCAAACACTAAAAGCCATAAAAAAACCAAAAGGTGGTGAAAATAAAAAAATATCTTTATGTGGTTAGACTGTCTGCATCTCTCTCTCTCCCCACAGAGGTATATAATTAAAGACAGGCACCTACCACCCATCTCTCTGTATTTTACCACTTTCAAATTTTGGGGTCTTCCAATCTTTTAGAAGGAAAATCCAAATCACACAATTTGTTTGATAATGTAACCCCTGTTCCCTGAGGAGGCATTTACTAAAAATGATTATATGTATAGATAGAATTGGCACTTTGCATCAAATTACTGTAGTTAAAATAACGTATCAACCTGCGAAGATGCTAAAATTCCTGGTAAATTCCTTCTGGCACAGAGTCACACACACTAACATGAGATATTGTTTACAGGCAGCAGGGGGTGGGAGGAATGGATTAAAAAAAATAAATATTGCAGGTGTGCAGAACATAACAGCATTTCACATTTTCATTTGTGACATACACATCAAAGTGTCACCGTTTCTGTTGTAATTAAGTCACAGATGCTGTGCATTTGTGGGAGTGAGGTCATACACACACACAGTGGCACAAATGGGATGGACCCAAAATAACACTTCTCATACGCAGAAAAAGGACTTATTTGCAAGTATTTTCGCTGGAGCAAAAGAAGGAAGAAAAGAAAGAATATTAACAGCAGCATCCTGCTTTGTTCTCCTCTCTTCTGCAACTACCCTAAAAAACAGGCAAGGAAACACCCAGCCCAGGAACAGGACTGAGCAACCTGTCAGTCTAAATAATACCAGCAAGTTTATAAATTGGGGGTAACAAAACACTCGAGCCCAAAATTCTCTACATCCATCAGTAAATAATCTGGGATGGAAATACACTTTTTCCCAGAACCTTGTATTTCTGCAGGTTACTGAAATAGGACTGACAGCATCACGTTAACTGACTTTTGTCCCAGGTCCTACGGGGTGGAAAATAGTCCAAAAGTGATGTAAAAAAAAGCCACCTCACAATTGCTACCCATCATCACTGTCACACTGGCAGCAGAACCACTGGTTATACAGTGTTTTTCACTGTAAACCAGCTTAAGGGGGGGGAAAACCTCTCTCTTTTTTGAGGTAGGGAAGTGTGGAAGTTCTCAGAACCAGGCTGCTTCTACAGAATTATTAATTGGAGTAATTAATTACGTAGTGCACATCCAAAGCAAAAGTTCTTGTGTGAAGTCTCAAACAACTGCAGACAATTATTTCATAGAATCATAGAATTGTCTGGGTTGGAAGGGACCTTGAAGATCATCTAGTCCAACCAATTTCCATATAGAATGGAACCACTAGTTTTGCTGTCATCCTAGTCACATAAAATACAGTGATTTTCTGGCGAAAAACTGATTTTCTTTTCAAATAGTAGCCATTTGGAGCTTCCCAGCTAGTTTGGTGGTTAAGGAAAATGTTGCTGGTATTCATGTATGTGCATATATATATATATATATATACACACACACAGATCCTGGTTTACAACTCAACCTTCTCCTTTCAGTACTGGCTTAAAAAAAAAGTTATCTGCATCGGGGAAAAAAAAGAAAAAAGAAAGAAGTGCCCAAGCCAGCCCAGAGCAGACACAGCAAAAAGGCAGGAGGTTTCAGGGCAGCCACCTTATGGGTCTCCTCTGGTTTTGCTCCAGCAATCCATGGCATTGCAGTCCACTGCTTCTCCTTCCCAGGCAGAGCTTTCACTTGGAAAACGTGGTCTCCTTTTCTCTATTTGGTTTTTATTTATAAAACCAGCGTAAATCAACAAGCAATGAGACAGACAGACACAATACATAAACATAAAACCAAACCACCTGAAGTGACAGAACATACTAGATGAGGGGAAAAAAAAAAACCACCCCAGAGATGAAAGAACTTGGAGGGGCCTCAACTTCAATACAAAGAAGTCAACGTAGAAAATACACACAACCACATAACAAAAATTAAGTTACGCTCTTACATGAATGTCTATTTTAACCAAATATATATTTATAGCTAGTAAATAAATCAATGTGTCGTGAACATTTGAAATTTTGACCAACTTTTGTACCTATGCATATATCACTATGCGTAGAAATCTTCAGAAATCTGAGGAGTAATGTCTCAGCAATAAGCATAAATTAACAAAATAGTCATTAAAGAAGTGATCCATGGTGTCAGCAACTGCAGTATCTGTATGCACATACTCACAGCTCAGATTGCCCAAGTATCTTATTGAAATCATGTCTTATTAACCAAAATCATTAGGTAGCATCAAGCAAGCTTAATTGAAAGCTCACCTCTCTGGGGACTGAAGAGAGTATTTAAGAATTTCATGGGATAGGACAACAATACATTTAGGAGGTGGGAACAATGGTGGAAGAAAAGGATAACAACAGAAGATAAACTGATTGCTTTTGAAGACTGGTTTGTTCTTCTACTATATGAAAGAAGCAGCAAATAACTCCTCATAAAACTAAAAGTTTCACAACAGCAAGAGAAATGTATTTGGGCAGTTTTCTTGCCAACAGCCTTCAGGATATTTGTGGAAAAATTGTTTTCCAAACAGCTGTTTTGAGATTCAGTCAGGAAGGAGGTATAAAAAAAAAAGCAGGTAAATTCATTTGACAGACTTTTGGAGATTAAGGTCAGTAAATTTTAAAAACTGCATTAAATATGTCCTGAAGAAGTCAACACTGTCAATTCACTGATCTTAATAAGATCCTTCTGAAACAACACACGGGCTGTGAGCGTGTTTACACTCAAGCTGTCTACGAAGAGTTAAAGAGAGGGAAAAGCTCTACTGTTACTGAAAAGTTACCTCCATCCATCTGTGTAAATCAGAGTGAGATTTAAGCTGTCCTTAACCCACAGGAAAATACTGCCATCACCTCCTTTTTTTTTTTTTTCTAGTGATTCTCATTCAGTTGTTCTTGCAGAATAATAACATTCCACGCATTATTTAAAGTCAGGTCCAATGGTAAGTGGTAAAAAAGTTAAGTATACTTAGTATAAACAAATACTACATGAGCCAAAAGAAGGGTTAACCTAGAGGACAATGTACTGTCTGACAGAGAGGGTTGGAGGGAAAGGCATGCGGAGGAGTGTTGGCAGTGACATACCCCTTGTGTCTGTAGGGACAGAGGTGTGATACGTCGCTTTTCCCACTCGTTTGGGCGAGGTTCGGGTGTGGATTCCATGAAATTGCGCTTGAGCTCACTAATGCTAGCCTGGTGTTTCAGTAAGTCCTCCTGGGTCTTATCCAGGTCCTAGCAACCCGCAACGTAAAACAAAGTAGGGACAAAACACGACAACAAAAAGCAAACTTAAATGAAAACCAAACAAACAAACAAAAAAAAAATACAACAACAATAGAAACCAAACCGAGGAACATGCCTTGTGTCTGAAGAGCTATTCGCCTTTGGAGTGCCTTAAAATAAAAAAAAATTAAGGCTAAAAGGGAACTAATATTTTGTTGGTTTTGTTTTTGTAATGAAGGGTCACTCATGTAATGCTTCTTCCACATTTTAAGGCAAAGGACAAATAATGTTGCACATGGCTATTTAACAGAGGGCTTTTTTCATCCAAAACATCAAACCATTAGCCCTATGAAACAATTTCTAGTAGTTGCTTGCTTTCATCTAAAATATGTAAGCACAGAAGCAAGCATTTTGGGTTACTGCACAACTAAGGTTACTGAAGGCAGTCTAACAGCCCAACCCAAGAAGCAATATAAAAATGTCTTCACTCCAGGGCATATTGATGCGAGCAACTAATACCCGCTTAACTTCAGAGACACTACTCATTGTGCCCATCACGTAGGCTTAAAATTACTGGAAGAATCAGATTTAAAGATTTAAAGCCTAGTATCTGCTAATTCCACATCTAAGAACCTGAGTGCAGACACAGTGCTCGGGTAGGGATGGTTTTGTCCACCAAAATGCCAAGGAGATGCTTTCTCTAAGTGGCAGCTACAGAGGGGACACCACAGCATGAACATCAAATTAGATTTTGTGATGGCCCTTTGAGGCCAAGCTGTAGCACCTTGGATCAAATAACAAGCAGCTTGGTTTTGTCCCAGATGCAGGTGCAGACATAAGGACCACCATCTATGCAGAAAGATAACTGTTCTGCTAAGCAGGCAAAAATCTGTTTAATTATCTTGGAAATTCATTATCCTTTAAATACAATCATAGAATTGTCTGGGTTGGAAGGGACCTTTCAGATCATCGAGTCCGACCATCAACCTGATTGTGACAAAAACCATCACTAACCCATGTCTCTAAGCACTATGTCAACCTGTCTTTTCAATACCTCCAGGGATGGTGCCTCAACCCCTGCCCTGGGCAGCCCATCCCAAGGCTTCATAACCCTTTCTGTGTCAAAATTGTTCCTAATCTCCAATCTGAACCTCCCCTGGTGCAACTTGAGGCCATTTCCTCTTGTCCCATCACCTGCTCCTTAGGAGAAGACACTGATCCCCCTGGCTACACCCTCCTTTCAGGGAGGTGGCTTTGGTGGGAAGAGCAGACTTCACTCTGCTTTCAGAATCTGTCCTCCCTTCCAGCATGTCAGGACTTGAGAAAAGCCTCTGCAGGTGATGCACGCTCTATCACAAGAATATTTTTTCAGTATTCTGTGGTGAAGTTCAAGTTTTAAGCCTCAGATCCATTTTTAATACAGAATTAAAAGAATAAAGATGAAAATGGCATAATGTCAACATAGATGTAATTACTAATGAAGTTTTATCAAAACAATGTGATCAGATATTTTAGGTAATTTAGGGAAAACATGTGGGTTTTGTCCAAAGATTTTATATACTCTGTAACAGAACATTGGGAAATGTAACATTTTGGTTCAGATTTTTATAGTCAGTGCTCCCAACGCAAAGACATCCCCGTCTTCAGTCATGAAAAATCCAAACTCAATACAAACTCATTAGTTTCTCATTTCCTTTCACTGAAGCGTGTTCAGCCCCAGTAAGAGTTTGGTGCTGTGCATCTATTTCCTAATTCTGCCAATATTCCTACGTGCACTTTCAACACAAAGAACCCTTCCCCTTCTGGCAGCTCGGGAGGTTCCTGTTGTCACAGGACCAACGCTCTGCTTTTAATCTGGGACGAACAAATGAGGCAGTAAAAATGTCCCCCTAAATATATATTTTCAGAGTGAAGTAAAACCTTATGCCCAAGGCATTCTGTGACCCAGCTGAAGCTCGTAACAATCACATCATCATTTCAAAACCTGGTTTGGCTTGACACAAGGCACGTTTCTTGGACTTGAATAAAGCAGAGTTACGCAACGCACACTTTCAGTGCTTTAGTAAAGTTACACACAAGCAAAGTTTCAATAGTGATCAAAAGCTGCAAGAAGCCAAAAGACATATTAGTTGGGTTACTGCGGTCCGTACACATCCTTATCACTGAACAAAACCAATGATTTCTGAAAAGACAGGTTTTGTGACAAAGGGAATTATTTATAGCCCCATCTGGATGAATGAAATACATTAAAGACAGCAGAGTAGGGTTTTGTAAAATGTCTTCAGTTACTGGTTTATGTTATTAACCACAAGTTAAATGTCATTAATTATAACTACATTCTGCTAAATAATCCAGATTAACAGACCATATGGAAATTCTTGTAATAAAAATCTCTACTTCAGTGAAAAAGCACTACACACTAACACTGTTCAAATCTCTTGTTGCTCATCTTCAATGAAAACCAACCTTTTGGAAGCAAGAATTACTTCCATTTGAAAATTGAAATGAATAAAAAAAGAGGCAAAGATTTCAGAAGTGCATCTAATAATTCCCCTTAAAAATCCCATCCTCACATACATTTCTCAAAGCTCCTAAAATCAAAGAGCATCAGAAGCAGAATTAGTTTTTCTGTATTTCTATCACTGCTTGTGCCTTACTCTTTATTCAGTAAATATATTTGATAAAGACTGATTAAACTGGTGAAAACTAGAAACCCTACTCAACAGAAGATCCAGACGTTGAGGAACAATGTATTAAAATCCCATTTAGGATCATGAATTGCACCTGTGTGTTTGCTTTATCTAAATAGGGCTATTATTCCCAGTTGCCACCTTGAGAACATCCAGCAAAAATACACAAAACGTACATTCAACATTCAAGCTGAGGGGTTGTTTTCTTTCTGGATTTTTTTGGTGGTTGGTTGTTTTGTTGTTTTGGGGGCTTTTTTTTATTTAAACTCAGAAACTAGAATGCTAACATGCAACATTTCCAAGCTGCTTTTCCCCCATGCACTTCATGCACTGTGTCCGTAACAGCCTGCGAGTGGCCTCCCATCCCATGCAGCCTGGCAGCCCGGGAGAAGGAAAAGTGCTTCTTATATATTATATACAAACCTCCAACATTAAATTGCTATGTCTGACATAAATATTTTCCCCGTCTACTCTCAAGGAATTGCTCTGTGAAATTAAGCCACACACAAAAAGAAAAAAGGGAAAAAAAAAAAACAAGAAAAAAAAAAAGAACGTAAAATGTACCGGCAAATAAATAAAAAGTTAAATAAAGGAAATAAAATAATAAGATGAAAAGGCACTATTCAAATTAAATCCACAGAAAATTTAGGGTGCAAACAAGGCAGGCAGCTACAGTCAGACGTAATTGTAAATAAAAAAACAACCGTGCACCTTCTGCTCTTCTTCCTCCTCTTCAGATTCCACCTACGTGAGCACGCGGCAAATTATCAAGAAAAGGAACTGTTAAAATACACTTAGATTTACACCGAGGCTTCAGCTCTTTGTAAATGCTGCAAAACGTGCTGGATTTACAGACCTTCACTCTTTCGGCCCCAGATGTTGGTGAAATTATTAAGCGACTTTGGTCTTCCTTCACCTACATTGTTGTAGAATGGCTGAAGTAATATTTGGCATAAGTGGCATGAAAAATGGAATTTGCAGGCTACGTCCCTTCCTTGCTGTACTTTTCCGTGTTTTTGCCAGATGGATATTTAAGAATGAGTCAAGACAAAAAAAAATATGATATGTGTAATTTCTATGGTAAGCGCCTTAAACTCTGCAACAAGTTGATGGGAAAATGGAAATCTAATGCATGAGCTCTTTTGGTGAGATGGTCTAGGAGTCACGTTGAACACCTAAATACCGTATTTACAAAGTGTCCTAATTATTTTCAGAACATTGCTGGCTTGGGATGAGCTATTTGCACCTCCATCCTTCAGTTTAGATGAATAATTTCTTCCTCAAACTGGAATGCACTCTGTTGGGAATGAGGGCTAATCTTCATATTCTACCTAAGAATAATTCTGAATGTTTTAAGGAACAGCATTCTTTAAAAAGCAAAGCACTTCCTAGGCTTTCCCCAGGAATCAACTGCTCATCACAGGAAAAGATGCATTGAGAAGTCAAAGCCGCACAAGTAAATAAATTTGAAGAAAAATCTACTTATTGCATGTACTGTGGCATTTTGGATTCTGCGTAAACGCACACATAATATGGTTCATAATCCCATTTTTAGTTGTCTCGTTTATCTGGGGTTGTTTTCTGCAAATTAACGTTACAAATAATGGATTGAATTAGGCTACAGAGAAATTGAGGAAGTCTTTAAGTCACATCCTTCATTATTTTAAACTTAGATTAGCAGTTTTAGTGATATCACGTTGTATTTAGCATGTTTTTAATAGATAGGTTGTATTGATTGAATCAGTTTAACAAACTTTGTTAAATATAACAAGCCTTCCTCCTTTTTTTTCTGTAATATTAGGAATATTCCTTTGAAGAGCAAAATAAAGCACCTTTTTCTGGTCGTATTGCTGCAACGTGCACAGCAGATAGAAAGAAAGGAGGCATTTTGTCAATGACTCCAGATGATCAGAGCAACGTATTGGTGTGACTGAGCTTCTGGACAGCAGTTTTAAATGCCTATTTCAAAGGATGTTCAGACTCCAGTGATTAAAGTCTGACACAACCTGCAATCCCAGCTAATGAACAAAATCCCTCTCCACCTTAACTGCTGCTAGAGATTAATAAAAGCACTTAAAAAAAAAAATAAAAAGCGCCTTGGACAGGACTCAACTTTGCACACACCCTTGCAGAGCAGAAACATCTGAAATCGGGAATAACAAAAAAGCTGATTTTAAAGCATTCCTGATTTTCTGAATTCAGTTTTTTAGGAATTTCACTTTTCAGATCTAAACAGAACTTTGGAGAGGTGTGTTCCAACCAACGCACACACAGGAGACGTGTGTTTTAACACAAACTCTTAGTGCGAGTAGCACAACTTGCAAGTAGTACCATGTGATAATATATCTATTATTGCACAGCACTTTCAGCATCCAGATTTATGTGCCCGTAAACGTTTTGAACTACAAAGCAACCCTACCTGCAGCTCAGTATCTGTGGAATCTGATGAAATTATGCACACTGTAGGAATTCTGACAAAGAAAACAGTTATCCATTGACTAAAATCCTGCAGTGGCACTTTTTCCACAAATAAGAAAAGTTAAAAAGATACAGATATACAAACGTGTGTGTGCATTTATACATACAGAGGCATGTACATAGATGTATCCCTATACTAGGAAGTGTGCAAAACTGAGCAAGCATAAAAGCTATGTGCAAGTGTCAATATTTAAGCACGAAAATTACACACCTCCTCTTCCTCTGCTTTGTCATTCGGGTCATTGTCATTAGAGGCACTAAAGGAAGTCACCTTAGGCTCCAGGTAGCAGAGGGACAGAGCGAGAGGAAGGGAAAATGTGAGTGAAAAAGGAATAGACTGGAAAGCTGAGAGAAGCAGCACGAAGATAAGGAGAAAAGAGGGGATGAAGGAAGGAGAGGTAATAGGAATATAGTGCTGAAGGCCAGGTGGGAGGAAAGAGATGCAGACATCAGGAAGGCTGGGAAAAGTAAGATAACCATCCTCATCCAGCAGCGAACGGAAACTCAAAGAAAAGCATCTGATCAAGCTGAAGGAGACACACAACTCAGTGCTTGGGTAGTCATTTTTTACAGTATGGATTTTTCCCTCCACAGCAGGGGAGCCTCGACTAGCTAAGGGTCTCACAGATTCCAAGGGATTATTTGCTGAAGCTATTTCATTTTTATTATCGTCCGGTGTTTCTTTGATGGAATTGCACTCTGAGATGTCTGGGATGGTAAGGAGGGGCTCCCCAAAGGGATCCTCCTCCGAAATATCCGAAAGCACGTCTATCTCGGGGAGAGGTGACAGGTTTGGGAGATGGGGTGACACAGCATGGGTGGGTTGTGACGATGGGTGCACGTGAGTGAGCTCAAGAAAAAAATTCTGTGCACGGTGGAAAATGAAAGCACGACAAAATGCAAGTTTGAAGGCACGAGAGAAGGGGGAAAAAAAAGAAATTGTTAGTTAGTGAAAATTTTTACTTAGAAGCAGCGATAGCTCTACTAACGCAATAGAAATGCCAAATAAAAAAAGAAATCCCCGTGTGTTTTACCAGCAGCCAACTTGTTTACTTCTGTGGATTATGAAAGGAACCCATTACTATTGTTTTGTTCTCAGGCTGTAAAGAACTGGGCCCTTTTGAACCATAATAGTCAGTGACAAGAGACAGAAGCAGAGAGACATTCAAAAGCTCTGGCAGAAAGGTCAGGGGACAGTGCAGTAGAGGGAAGACAAGCTGGCACTTTGATTCTTGGGTTTATAACCATTTCCTCTAAGGCTTAAAGAGAGCCAGAAAGGAAAAGAAATATCTGTGCTAGAGGGGAAAGCAAGCTGTTCACAGAGTTGGCATGTGTAACAAAAACCTTACTCAACAGCCTCCTGGAACAACTCCCCAAAATACTGCTTTTTTGCTTCTGTTGATTAAAATATCAAAATATACTGGCCACCTTGAAAACAAGGGAGCATCACCATTTTAACCATTCTCACCATTCAAAATGTAGGAATTTATTTTACCATTTTTCTCCCATAAAGAATCTCTCTGTGTGCCTTTTTCCTAGGGCAATCCAAAATTATTTCAACTTGCCAGGAAAACATAACTGTTGGTATTTGTTCCCTTCCTACACTCGAATGCAGTGGAAAGATGTGACCAGCACAGAGGAACTCAGCAACTCCCCTAGGAATCAAATGAGTAGCTAACTTGCAAAAATGTTGGAAAACAAAATTACTCTTTAAAATGGAAAGAAAGTTCTGGAGAACTGCCAGAAAAAGAAATAATCTCCAAGAGAGACGAGTAGCAGATTTTAGCTGACACTTCGGGAGGAAATTTTTTACATCAAATCACACAAGATCTAAATTTAATTTTTTGACCTATTCCCCCAGCAGCTCAAACAAACAAGTAAATGATTGTTTGCAACAGGAACAGACCAAAGTACTCAACTTTTCAGAGAAATCTATGCCTCAGTCAACACACAAGTTTTTAGAGGATGAAATAATTCTGCAGTGGCTACTGAAACAATACTGTTGTCGGTAATTAAACACAGTCATAATATACCCAACTCTGCAGAACGTACACAACTATGAATATACTAACAATGGGTTTTTTTTACGTCTAAACAAACTAAGGCAATGAATAAAACATTATTTACTCTTTGAAATATGTTTCGAAAGCTCATGCGAGCTTACCAAGAATTCAAATTAAGTTTGTAGCAATAAAAGAAACCCTCTGTCAGTGCCATTCAGAAGTTTGTATTCTCTTTTGCTTACATACAGTTAAGTTAAACCTACAGCAAGTATATTAATTTTCCTTTAATATTATAAAACCATGTTCTGTACGATGCTTAGAAGTGACAGGCATTAAATAACCACACGTGGACACCACATGAACAAATAGCTTTGGTGTGAAATTAGCCATACCTTTCCATCCTGAGGCAATTCCAGCTGTGGAGTTTTGAGTGGGCTTCCATCTTCTTCTCTACCACCTTCTTTTAACTTGGCCTGACCAGCAGCTTCAATGTCAAGGATTTTATCTCCAGCAGCAGGGAAGTCCCGTAACAGACTCTGGTCTGCGATACCCATGGGAGCTATTAAAGAACAAAAGAATTTTGGTTAATTGGGGTAAGCTGGAACATTCTGAGTTTAAGGCTTGTTAACAAAACAACTTCATGGTGATGTGTGCTCAATGGATTTACGTCCAGCTGGTGGCCGGTCACAAGTGGTGTGCCTCAAGGCTCAGTGTTGGGACCATTTCTATTTAACGTCTTTATTGATGATCTCGATAAGGACATAAGGTGTAACATCAGCAAGTTTGCAGATGACACCAAGTTAAGCAGGAGTGTTGACTCCCAGGAGGATAGGGAAGCCTTGCAAGAGGATCTAGATAGATTGGATGACTGGGCCAATGCCAATGGAATGAGTTTCAACAAGGGCAAGTGCAAGGTCCTGCACTTGGGCCACAATAACCCCCTGCAGCACTACAGGCTGGGGGAAGTGTGGCTGGAGCTGCCTGGAGGAAAGAGACCTGGGGGTTCTAGTTGACAAACGGCTGAATATGAGCCGGCGTGTGCCCAGGGGGGCAAGAAAGCCAATGGCATCCTGGCTTGTATCAAAAATAGTGTGACCAGCAGAAGTAGGGAGGTGATTGTGCCCCTGTACTCAGCACTGGGGAGGCCACACCTCGAGTGTTGTGTCCAGTTTTGGGCACCTCAATCCAAGAGAGATCTGGAGGTGCTGGAGCGAGTGCAGAGGAGGGCAACGAAGCTGGTGAGGGGGCTGGAAAACAAATCGTATGAGGAGCGGCTGAGGGAGTTGGGGCTGTTTAGTGTGAGGAAGAGGAGGCTGAGGGGAGACCTCATCACTCTCTACAACTTCTTGAAAGGACACTGTAGAGAGGTTGGGGCTGGTCTCTTCTCACAGGTAATTAGTGCCAGAACGAGAGGGAATGGCTTCAAGCTCCAACAGGGTGGGTTTAGATTGAACATTAGGAAAGAATTTTTCACCGAAAGAGTGGTCGGGCATTGGAACAGGCTGCCCAGGGAGGGGGTGGAGTCACCATCCCTGGATGTGTTTAAGGGCCGTTTAGATGCAGTGCTGAGGGACATGGTGTAGGGGAGGACTTTGTAGAGTAGGGTAGATGGTTGGACCCTTGATGATCCCAAGGGTCTCTTCCAACCTCAATGATTCTATGATTCTATGATGTCAGCAACGAGCAATACAGGTTCGTTACTGAGGAATACAGTATTTTTCAGCTTCTTGGCTGCATAAAAAATCTATGATTGCACTGATATAACCATCTGGTCATCCGTAACATCAACATTTTTGAATACCTGCCATATGGAAGTGACAACACATACTGCAATCGTTACACTGCAGAAATAAGTCCAATTTCCTACCTCCATCAAGGCTCCTGGAAACCCGTTTGCTCGAGGTGCGCTCGAAGTAGGGAGCGGGTCTGTCGATGAGGCTGCTGGCCTGGCGCGTCTGCGCCTGCGTACGCCCGCTGTAGCGGAACTTGGAGCCCAAGATTAGAAACTTTGCTTTCGGAGGCTGCTCTGGTGATAAGAGTCTAAGAAGTAAACATGAGGAGAGTCAGTCAAAAAGGCTTTATTTTATGTATTTAATGCGATACTTCAAAGCTAGTTACTGTGTTTCGGCTTTAGTTCACCGAGCAGGATTTGTGCATTCCAAGAAAGGGTTCTACCAGGAGCTCTGAGAAGAACTTCTAAAACAATGCCTGTTGGTTATTATTTATTATTAGTTATTTATTATTAGTTATTATTATTTATTATTATCATTTATTATTATTATTATTATTTATTAGTTTTTATTTATTATTATTAACTGAAGCCATGCCGATAACCATCGCATTTTCCACAGCATGACTAAGCATCTGGGATCCTTCTCTTTTGGTCCTATCTCGGTTAAATGTTTTTTTTTCTAGAAAGCTGAGGCTGTTATAGCTGTTATAACACCTCTCAGATCTTTAAGAATATTACTCATTGTAGAAATTATATATCCTGCTTCCACTGCCTTTCCCATATTCCGAGGTACCAATATGGCAGCTGCCATTCCTCAAAGTCAGGGGATGGCATCTCAAAGCTGCACAAAAGGCTCTTATCAAGTGAAAAAAAACTGAGATGGCTGGAGAGTTGTGACCCAGTGGTAAAAAGTTTAACAAGCCAGGTTCAGGCTCCAGTTTCTTTACAATGCCATTTACAGATTTGTATAAGCTGATGCTCGCTGGATGTAAAGAGAGGGAAGAATAAATCATATTGTGAAAAGGGTGAAAAGAGATTCAGTTACAAGTGCTGTTACTGAGGGTATGGTGTTTTTCACTTAAGCGTTCGAGATGATGTCAGAAAGTCTAAGGAACAGCGTGGCAGAATTTGCTATGAGGGATTCTGCTGTGGTCCACCAGTTTTTGACATCACGTGAGTTTGAAGAGACAGGTCCTCTGTACCTCCCTGAATTTCCTTAAGTATGAGATCTTCAAGCTCTTATTCCTCTAACCCTCATCTGCAAGGATGCAGGGCAACAAAGATGGTGAGGGGTCTGGAGCAACCTTCTCACTCTCTTCAACTCCCTGAAAGGAGGGTGTAGAGAGGTGGGGGTCGGTCTCTTCTCCCAAGTCACAGGCCATGGGACAAGAGGAAATGGCCTCAAGTTGCGCCAGGGGAGGGAGGTTCAGGCTGGATATTAGGAAAAATTTTTTCACTGAAAGGGTTCTCAGCCATTGGAATGGGCTGCCCAGGGAGGGGGTTGAGGCTCCATCCCTGGAGGTGTTCAAAAGACGGGTTGATGTAGTGCTGGCAGGTATGGTTTAGTGATGATGCTCCTTGTTTGTTGTGTGGGTGTCTATTTTTGTCAGTCAGGTTGACGGTTGGACAAGATGATCTTTGAGGTCCCTTCCAACCTAGAAGATTCTGTGATTCTGTGATACAGCCATCACTACAGGAACTCTTCTCACTCTCAGCTTCTCTAGAAAGGTCCTTGATGTTGCTCCTTGGATTAAAGGAACGCTGCAAACACATGGCAGGGCAGCAGTCCCCAGCCCAGTCTCCCTCTGTGTGAAACCACCAGACTATTACACACAGAGCTTTTTCATTTGAGGATCTGCAAGGAACGAGAAACTCACTGAACATCAGCTGCTTTCATGCAGAATCAGCAACTCAGGATGGCACAGGTGGGCAAGAGAAAATTAATTATGTTGATTTGTTCAACTCTATTGAAGCAAGTGGGTGTCTATTTTTGTCAGTCAGGTTGACGGTTGGACAAGATGATCTTTGAGGTCCCTTCCAACCTAGAAGATTCTGTGATTCTGTGATACAGCCATCACTACAGGAACTCTTCTCACTCTCAGCTTCTCTAGAAAGGTCCTTGATGTTGCTCCTTGGATTAAACCATCACTACAGGAACTCTTCTCACTCTCAGGAAGGACCTCTCTAGAAAGGTCCTTGATGTTGCTCCTTGGAACGCTGCAAACACATGGCAGGGCAGCACTCCATGGCCCAGTCTCCCTCTGTGTAAAACCACCAGACTATTACAGACAGAGCTTTTTGATTTGAGGATCTGCAAGGAATGAGAAACTCACTGACAGTATGAGATCTTCAAGCTCTTATTCCTCTACCCCTCATCTGCAATGTTGGCTCCAGTGCCATCCTTGCCAATAGGATATTCATGCAGAATCAGCAACTCAGGATGGCACGGATGGGGAAGAGAAAATTAAATATGTTGACTTTGTTCGACTCTATTGAAGCATTTGCACAGGGAGTATCTGATTTGGTGGAATCCAACCCAATGTATGTTAAGACGGTATCCAGTGGTGGCTTCTGAAAACTGACAGCCATTCTAAAAGTATTTCAGCAGAACTGAAGAATTTTCAGACACTTGGCAAAAAGAAGGGTGAGCAGGGTAGAAGGTTACCCTTGTCTCTAAGAGAGGATGTTGATGGCTTTATCAGCCAGAAGCCTCCAACCCCGTGTGCCCAAGACACAGACACACGCACCCGAATCCCAACTTCATCCAACACATTTTTTAAAAAAAATGGAATTCAAGGCACGCTAATCCACCTTTCTGCACTAAGGGCACTTATAGAATAAAACCACAAGCATCTGGAGCTTCACCTTCCTTGCTTCTATAAAGCAGCCTTACGCAATCTCTGCGACAATGTATTTCTCCACATTATTTCCAAGAGAGAGAGCACATTATGCATTAAGAGGAAGAAGGCTAAGAGGGTTTTTCCAAGGTTCTTTCTGTTCTTTTCCAGTCTTGGCAAGGCTACAGCATTAACTGCCATTTTTATCTCCCACCCTGCTGAGATAAACTTTTAATCTTTTAACGTGAAAAAAAACCAAGAGAACTAATTACTTCCTGATTAAGGGCATTTGAATGGATTTTTTTTGTATTAAAAGATTAATTACATAAAATAACTGAAGACTGTGCTTTTACTATTTTCAGACATTCTGAGGAGACACTGAAACAATCATGAAAATTTCAAAACCTCAGAAAGCAGAATTCTAAGCAGGTTTCTGCAGCCATTGCTTAAGGTCCAGAGTTGCAGCCTGAACTCACCTCAAAAGATTGATGTTGATACATAGTCTGACTGGATTTCTTACAGAAGACTGTTACTTTTTGGAAATGTTACTGAAATCCTATAAATCTGAGCTGATACAAGTGAATCCAACGCCTTTTGGTTGTCATTTTCAATATAGTTCATTAAGGATTTTTTTAAGTAACTTCATACACTGGCTGAATTTCCCATACGTTATAAGAAGATGGATCTTAATGTAATTATTTGAGAAAAACGGAAATATTTCAAACACAGGAATCTTATAATGTTATATAGGGCACACTTAGGGGTCTGGAAGCTAAAAATGTACATTGAGATTGAACACAGTTTTCTGTGGTATCACACACAAGCTTTACTCATGCTCTGGAAGAGCAATAGCTTCTCGGACTGTAGCAATTGCTTTCTGCTTTTTATCTCTGGAGAAAAATAGAGCTGGATTTATTTTGCTGTTTTTAAATCAGGATGAGAGGTTCTGAGGATTTTCTGTCAGATGACATCAGCGGAGTACATGAATTTTACAGAATGCTTCAAGTATTTGTTACATAATTCTCATTATAATGTCATTCCTGGTTCAGAAAAGCCACTTCTGATTGGAATAAAATCCAATTATTTTTATTATGTCAGAATTTCTGTGATGAATTTATCTAATATGTGTTAACACTCCTGGGAATGTGTATTTGCAAATGGTAGTTCTCAGTTTAGGATTTTTGACTTCCATAAGATTTGTTTTTTCCCTATTTAGTTCCATTTTATTACTGTAGAATTAGGAAACAGTTTCCCAGCAAAACAAACCACTGTTATTTTAAGAGCGTTGATAAACTTTTCATGGCAGACAGAACTGCATGATATTTGTGGTAATGGGCATCACCAGCCAAAGCAGACTTTGAAAGAATAGAATGGTGAACTATGTATCTTAATAAACCTAACCAGTGAATGACATCAAACATGAAAACAATCTTGGATCGATATTTAAAAAAAAAAAAGTGCTTCAAAATTAAGCAGTTTGAGACCAACTGCATATCTCAGCACAAATTCTAATACAGCATTCAAGAATATTCTACATTCAATGAAAATTGGAATACTGAAGACCATCCAGGGAGAGAGTAATGAAGTAATGAACTGTTCTCAAGTTCTTTGAAGGTCTTAGTCTCGCAAATATATTCAGCTTAGACTAGGTATGAAGAGACAGGATTGCATCTACCTTAAAACACAATTGCTTTTTTTAAAATAAAAAATCAGGCTGCTGAAAGAGAAAGCTTACCTTTTACATACCCTAGTTACTGTGCTCATTTGGAGCAAGAACCTCAGATTCAACACCTAGTCAATGCATAATGGATTCAACCTAAATCTGTGACTCCTGGGCTTCTCCCTCATGGAGCTTGTGCTATTCTAAAAATCAAACGATGATTTTTCAAATTCTTTTTCAATGGATGAAGCAGAAAGAGAAACAACTCTGTGGCTTATTGTTAAAGTACTCATTTACACATAGACCACAGTTTTAATGACCAATTCAGAATTTTGTATTTATCAGTTACTGGGGAAAAAAGGCATAGATAGTTGTTATTATTATTATTATTATATAAACAAATAGTAGTCTCTTTTAAAAATTATTATCTATTCTTTAAAGAATGACTGTAAATTTGGCTTAAAAATAAGCAATAATTCAACTGTAATCATTTACACTCAGCAGAATATTCTGAATAGTGAAGTGAATGAAGATTACTGTCGAGCCCTGAGGGCTTCTTGTGGAGGAGCACAGTGGATTTCTAGATGGTGACTCCGAAGAGTTGATCCCTCAGCAAGTTTTACATATGATCACTAGTTTAGTTCCATACTCTGAAAGTCTAAATAAACCTATTATTTGTACTTGAGACCTTCAGAATTAGTTATTTGGGGTCAACAACTGGTAGGGTGTCTTCTCTCTAAGAGGTGTTACTGGACTGAGAAATTAGGGGGGAAATCATCTCAACTTTCCTCATATCTTCCTGAAGAAAGATCTGAGCATATCTGGCAAAGCAGGGGAAGCAGAGAATTACCATTTACCTGAAGAAAGTATGGTGCTCCACACAAACCTTCCACAACCTTTTAGCAGCCCGGTGACGTGGCAGTTTGAACCCAATAGTGCTCTCAAACTGTTCCAGCTGGAAAGAACACACAAATAAATTAACCCATTTCCTTAATCCAGCTATTAACTCCCAGGCAGAGTTCAGATAGTTCCATTACTGTAACGAGCTGTAATTCTCTCATAAAACATCTTAAGATACAAAAAAAAAAAAATTAAAATAATAAAACATCAGAATTTCCAGCCTTTTAATAAAATTATACTTGGCAGGCTAGTCATGATGGGTAATAATCACATTATCACTTCCTAGCTGTACTAATGACTCTTAGGAGAAATCCAGTAATACTTTAGTGTTCCTTGCTGATTTTCTGACTAGCTGCCCAACGTATTTATTTTTAAATTCCATGAAATAATTGTACTGCAGGTTTTGCTGCATGCTTTCCTTGGATTTAATAAAAGTCCAAAATCCATACTGCAGTGTTAAGCTCACCTGATCTGTTTCACTATATAATAGCATCTTAGCAAAAATATTACATCTATGCACCATCCCTGAGTGCAAGAACAATACGTGTGTGTTCCAAAACTTACAAAACTACGATGTTTTTATTGTATTGTTGGTATTTAGACTTCTCTTGTGGTTTTATTGATTGACACAGTAAAAGCTACCTTAAACATTTTAAAGTATAATTTGAAAAAGCATTACAGCAGCTGACATTTTGGAGTTTTTTTGCAAAATTTCCAGTTATGTATTCAAATTGTAACCCCCACTCCTTCAGGAACTCCCACAAACTTATAATGGGATCTGAAAAGAAAGTTGTCTTCGCTATTTCCATAGCAGCTAAAAGAAAGAGTTATAACGTCCTACAGGACAACTCAAGCCTTTGGTTACACCCATACAACTAAATGTTGACATTTAGTGAACAATTACACCCAAAGAGGAAGAGAAGCTGGCTCTCCCCCAGGACTGCAAGACAGTAAGAACATGGCCAGTGTTAACCAGCTTTCCTTGTTAAAAAAAAGTTACAGGTTGCTATCTATTAACAAAGGAAAATAGATTTTCTTCTTGATTTGCATTTACTCATCAAGACAAGTGTCTAATACCATCAGTAGAACCTGAAGAGGAAAATAAAAGTTCTGCTCAAATCCAACATAAGCCTGAGGAGGCATCTGGGAAAAAAATTAGGATCTTCTCTTGTTGCTGGATAGAAATGATCTCACAAAAGACAGAAGACAGAACGGTACTACTCACTTCTGCTGGCCTGACTTTGATGTAGAAATTACTTCGCTTATAGGAGATCTTCAGAATTTTTGGCCAAGCGAAGCGGTTGATCCGGAGTCTATCTTTGTAAATGAGCAGTCCATTAGCACACACACCCAGCATGATATCCACACCTTCAGAATCCTATCATGTACAAGACAATTTCATAAAAATCAGTTTAACAACATTCCAAACAAGTAATTACCACTGGCATACCTTGAGGGAATAATGCAACTGGGACTTGTTTCATATTCAAACCTGAAAGACCCTGACAATGAGATTCTTAAAGCAGAAATAGCCAAGTATATTAATTTTATAGGAAAGGCTTTGGACTACAAATACTGGCTTTGGCAGTTATATGTCAGTGCATATGCCCCAGTTCTTCCAATATTCTGGCAGCAGGGACTGAGTCAACAACTTGGAAGCAAGGAGAGGTATGGTGGGTGTGCTACCAATAATTTCAACAACTGTTAAAAGAAGAAAAATTAAAACCAGGCCTTTCCAAATTAAAATAGCCAGTGGAAATCTGAACAAGTTGGTGATCTTTTATAATCAGTAATAAAATTAAAATAGCCAGTGGAAATCTGAACAAATTGGTGATCATGGTGACCTTTTACAGTCAGTAATGTTACTATTTCAGTAAAGATATAGGAAGTAATGGATAGTTGGCTGAAAAATACAATTATTTCCCAGCGCTGGCTGGCTGGGTTTCTTATTATTCTCTTCCACTGACATTTGATGCAAGTTTTACAGGCTACAAAATCAATCCCTTACTGCTAGGGCTTTGATACACTCTAAAGCACAATCTCATGTCCTCCCCCAACAGGTCAACTACATCAAGTGCCAACAGTGTCATTAAAAAGTGGCTTCACTGGCCCAACTACCAGCTGCAAGCGGATCCTGGCAAACAGCGGTTCTAATGCTTGCAGTTACTTCACTACAGCAAAAGAAAGCTCCAATAAAACCCTAAAAAAATTTAAGTTCCTTAAAATACTACAGACTGAGTGAATTGCCATGCTGCACTTGTATTAAAAAATTAATATATGTTACATAGTTAATGTACATGAACAAAAATTTTAAGTCGCCATGCTGCACTTGTATTAAAAAATTAATAAATGTTACACAGTTAATGTACATGAACAAAAATTTAAGTATATTTCTTTCCAGTGCTTCTAACAGAACACAGGAAAAAGTCTATGGAAAATTGCATAAACAAGTGCATATTTTTTCTATATGAAATAGAATTAAACAATGCTTCTCCAGAACTTAAAAGTCTTGGTTTTCTTTTCTAAACATAGCACTGACATGCTTATAATGCATTAATTTTCCTAATGATTTGAGATTCTGGATTTATGTGAGGAAATGGGAGAGGGTTGGTTAGTTGGTTTTCTGGGTTTTTAACGAAAAAAAAAAAATATCCTACTAGAAATGCAAATTTGATTTGACCTACCCAGAGGAGTGGTGATCCAAAACCCACCCTCCCCCAAGACCTCCTTCCCCCTCTGTTTTTAACTCTCATGGTATTTCAAAAGTAATTACATATTCTTTTAGGCTTTACTTTATGGCCCCACGTGTCCTTGGCAGCAAAAATACGACATTCAAAATGTATTTACCCTCTCTTATGTATAAAATATTATTTCTGAGCTGCACATATGTCTATGCATTAAATAAACTTAGATTTCAAATAAATTCTAAGGATGTTAGAGCTGTAAAGCGAGTAATTATTGTTACCAAGAGATAAAAGTTTTATATTTAAAAAATGATTTTTTTTAAGGTATAAAGTTTGTATAATTATCTATATATAGTCTGTTCTTTAATACTAAACATGCCTATCCTAAAACAAAACAAACCCAAACCAATCCCCAATACCTTGGCATGATGTAAATCCACTCCATACATGGAGAGTCTCTTAGCATTTTCTAGGAACTGGGAATCCGCCTGTGCTGGAGTCAAGCCCCTAAAACCATTGAATAAGCCTTGAGTTTATTGACAAAATAACTGAGAATCAAAATTGAGTAGAATCCTGGAATTCAGACACATAAAAAAAGCTCAGTTTGGAAAGTATCAATAGCATTTTTGCACTAAAGGAAAGCGTTCTTTCAGAGCATGGTATATTCCAATTCAGACACATAAAAAAAGCTCAGTTTGGCAAGTATCAATAGCATTTTTGACTATTTTATATATTTTGACTATTTAGTAGAGACTGACATTTTCATTCTTTCAAAATATTCTACCTGTATGTTGCTTAAACTAATTCATATGCACAGATAAAATTATTTTCTCCAAAAGTTCTCATCTGAGATCTTTGTGAAGCTACTACTTTCAAACTGAAATTTTTTAAACACATGAAAGTAAGAGGTTCTAGTTATAGAGCAAAAGATTTCCAATGTAATAATAGCTTCAGCTTTGCAGTTTTACGCATATCCTTAAGAGAACTGACATAAAGGTGACACGAGGGTTTAATTTAATCCCACCGTATCTGACACACCTGTGTGTTTTGTGCAGCTCAGCTACTTTCTCTTCCATTTCTTGGGTCTGATTGGGTGCAAACTGGAATTGGCTGATATAGTCCCCGCGGTGCTCCTCGGGGTCGTGGTCCCCCAGCTCTGCCTGCAGCGTGTAGGAGCCCAGCAGGGCGTGAGTCACGAAGGAACACGGCAGGCGACCAGAAGCAATGTCCTGACGAAGCTGTAGGCACAAGAAATATCTGCAAGACAAAGGAAAGGGGGGGAAAAAACAAACAAGCAAAAAATCAGAATAGAGACGGTGTCACCAATGGCAAGTTTATAAGAGATATGGAAGAACCTCTTGATGTGCTCACAGAATCTAGACTGGTTTGGGTTGGAAGGGACCTTAAAGATCATCCAGTTCCAACTCCCCTGCCCTGGGCAGCGACACCTGGACAGGATCATATAAGATTTAAAATTAGTCAATGCATTACTAATTTGTCATACCTTATATTATTTGAGCATTATTGCCACACAGTAAATTTCACTTCCATTTTTAAGAGGCAATACTACTTTCATAAATAACCCAAAGAGCACGAAAAATTCTGATTTCCAATACGAATGAATGAAAAACTGTATCTAGTTTGTAACAAAAGCTGACTTCGGACCTCCTTCATTTCACCTTCCAGCTCACAGGTATCTAAGTTTTACAAATAAAAACCCTATGCATTTCCTTTGAAATTTCCCTTCGGTTTTCAGATTCTAAATTTTATATCCCTTGCAGTTCTTGAAATAAACATGTCATGTGATCCTGTTTAGTACTGAACCCGTAATTGCCTCCCTTAAACCAACAGGAAGTTTTATGGTTCTATTTAATGCATATGTATAAAACTCTGTTTCCACCAACGTAGCATAGATTATTGTTGAATTACCCTTGGATCCCGTGAGCTTCACCTCTTACTATCAACACCCTCATTTGCTATATAATAAACCACTGACTTCTTTCAAATATGATCATTGGCATATTACCTCCCACCCCAATCACATCCCCACTTGTCATTAAATTCTTCTTTCTCAGGTTTCTTCCTGAAGGTTTCAGTCCCACCCCAATCACATCCCCACTTGTCATTACATTCTTCTTTCTCGGGTTTCTTCCTGAAGAAGAAACCCAAGACTTTGCCTTTTCAAACCCATTCCAAAAAGCAGTTGATACAAGAATATCTGTGGTGTTCTACAGCAACAGCCAAACCTGTTATGGCATCCAGAAACTGAAGAAGAAATTTTATATGGCCTTCAAATTAGACTAACAGTAATTTTGAAGTTTAGAATTAGGAAGTAGCCATACCTAGTGATATCTTCAGTCAACTGCGAAGGATCAGGAGGATAAAACTTCACGTTAAAGGTGAATATCCAGGGTAAACCTGAACATGGGAAATGTCTGTTAATCTCAAACAAGTTGAAACAAGCAAAGAAAGAACCTTATTGAAAATTTTAGGCAGTCATATTCATCTTAGATCACTGAAATCTTGAAGAAAGTGATTTTTCTTTCTTTTCTGTCTTCTTTCCCCTTTTTACAGTATATTAGTAAGAAGCAGAGATTATTTCCATTCTCAGGTAGTAACTCATATACATACAGTGAAAGATCAGCATGTTAAAAATTATTTTCAAAGGAAGTTTTACAATAAGTTATGTAAATATCAGAATAAGCTTTTGAAATGAAAATCACTGTAATATATTAACGCTTTCAAGATATTCTGCATTCAAAGACAATCACACTGAATTTGTGTTTATTTGCAACTCCAACCCCTGCTTCAACCAACTGTTTGAGAGACCGTACAATAACTATGAACATGAGATGTCAAAATGAGCTCTGCATTGCATACAAAGATAATATGTAAATTATTCATATTCATACAGAATGCATGGAAGACAAAAAATATTAACCATTCCTTCTTTAAAATATTTTTTCTGAAATTATAGCTTTAGCAACCATAATAGCAATGACATTTTCTGTTTAAATTCTCATATGTTAGAATTGTTAACACCAAATTCACTGTTTAAGGAAACATATGCTTAAATCTAGATTAATAATTTGATAAAGCATAAATTATTGCCTTTTTCCATAGCTCTAGTTCTAAATAAATTTTTAAGATTTGAAAGCTGAAGTCACTCATCAATAATTAAAATATATTCTCAGAGTGATACTCTACCAGTATTGTAGCACTATGGGGAAGAGGAATATGTTCATCAGAAAGTGTTAATAACTTGACAAGATGGAGAACTTTTCAAACAGATTTTATTAAGTACAACGCAGACATATGGATGTAATAGAAAATCCCGAAACAGGAGCCCAGGAAAATAATTTAATCCTTTTGTTTCACATGCTGCTTGAAAGCAAATGCAGTTAAACTTTACCACATCTGGCCAAACATAATAAAATGGAGGTCCACTAAAAATCATGAAGAAAGATAAGAAAATAAATCAAAATATTATCAGAAGAATTAAGTAGCCATTTTTGTCTTTCTTTTGCCCCTTCTAACATAAATATTGTGGTAAAAGACTTAGCAAAAATAATCTTTGGTAAAAAAAGGTAATCATTTTATAATGCTTGATAATGATAAATTTTGGACAGCAAACATTTTTAAAAAAACCTGTCCTCTGCAGATAAATCATGCTTTGAAAAAATGTGCATTTTAACAATAACAACAAAAAGACTGACATGCTATTTCCAACATGACGCCAGAAAGGACTGCTGACATTTTTGTTTAAGGTTATTTTCTTCAAAAAACCTTATTTTAAAATGTCACAGCTGTTAAAGGTGAAGAGGTGCTTTGCGTCAAAATTTCTAATGTCTTTCAATATTTCAAAAATCATTTCAGCTTTTCAGACATGGCTATTCATTGGAGCACTTCAATTTCTGCTTAAATGGGAACCTCCTTCTCCACCTGGCTGCTAAGTCACCAGTTCCTTTTGAAAGCTCAGGGTTTTAGTGTATCTTCACATAAATGATAAGTTTGTTTACGAAATAAGGCAGGACTCCTTAAATGAGAAATCCAAGGTATCAGCTGGACAGCCAGTACTGAATCAGGTAAAATGTGCCTCATTACATCACCTACCGGAACCCAGTGCAAGGCAGAATCAAGACAAAAATACTTTAAAAATGTCTAAAACTCATTAATACAGGTGAGTCCATTAGACCTGCCCCACAGAAAAGGACCTGGGGGTGCTGGTGGCCTGTGGGCTGAACAGGAGCCAGCAGTGTGCCCAGGTGGCCAAGGCGGCCACCAGCATCCTGGACTGTGTCAGGAACAGCGTGGGCAGTAGGACTCGGGAGGTGATCGTCACCCTGTGCTGGGCCCTGGGGAGGCCCCACCTCGAGGGCTCTGTCCAGTTTTGGGGCCCTCACCACAAAAAAGACATTGAGGGGCTGGAGCGGGTCCAGAGAAGGGCAACGGAGCTGGTGAGGGGTCTGGAGCACAAGTCTTGTGAGGAGCGGCTGAGGGAGCTGGGGGTGTTCAGCCTGGAGAAAAGGAGGCCGAGGGGAGACCTTCTCGCTCTCTCCAACTCCCTGAAAGGAGGGTGTAGCCAGGGGGGGTCGGTCTCTGCTCCCAAGGAACTGGCGATGGGACAAGAGGAAATGGCCTCAAGTTGCACCAGGGGAGGTTCAGGTTGGATATTAGGAAAGATGTTGACACTGAACGGGTTATTGCACATTGGAATGGTCTGCCCAGGGCAGTGGTTGAGGCACCATCCCTGGAGGTATTTAGAAGCCGGGTTGACATAGTGCTTAGAGACATGGGTTAGTGATGGTTTTTATCAGAGTTAGGTTGATGGTTGGACAAGACGATCTTAAAGGTTCCTTCCAGCCCAGACAATTCCATGATTCTATGACTGAAGGAAGAAACAGGGCCCAGGGCTGCTCTTGCCAGGGGGCTGGTTGAGCCGCAGCACGGGCAAAGGAACAGCAGTTCTGGAAACTGAGAGGGATTTGGCTTTTCTAGCTCAAGTGACGATTTCTCTTTTCCTTCCTCTTTCTGTTTCCCCAACCCTTGAGGCAGGGGATGGAGCACGTTCCCTGCCCCAGACCCCGGGACTCCCAAGGAACACTCCGCGTGACGCTGAGCCCGCACTTGTCGGAACAGAGGGTCGCAGCCCCGTCTCACAGGCACCATTGTGATGTGGTTCTGGAGATAAAAGGCAGCGCCAAGGAGCGGGTCAGTGTGAAGCCTCGGAGGACGCTCGCTCGTCCTCAGCTCCAGCAGAAGCTTCACCCTGGGATTGGAGAGTCGGAGCCATTCCTCACCCTACCGGAATCGGCAACAGATTAGAGACTTCTTCTGCCTTCACTGCCTTGCCCGCGGGCATGGTAAATACCAACTTGGGTTATTGCTGCAAAGAACTGAAGTTTCTCTAAGGCAGAGTTAACTCATCTGGGATTGACAGAGCTGTAGGAAACCCTACAACGGCCACCAACACCAGAATTTATCAGCTGGGGTAGCTCTGCCGTTCCATCAAGGGGGTTTATTTCTACCCGGCGGGGACAGGCAGGGGTTTAACTTCATTCCCCCTGGGGGAAGTTGAGCAGAGGTGGGGATGCCGCCCGTCTTGCTAAGATGAGCTGATGTCTGGCCTCTCTCCTCAAGGAGACCAAGACCGCGACCCGTTCACGGAAACGGGAGTTGGAGGCCAATCTCCGGGCTGCCTGGCGGGAGCTGGAGTCTCTGTACCGAGAGGCACTGAGGTGAGGGAACCTGCTTGGTGATCCTCATGGAGAAGCTCTGGGCGGTTCTTGCCGTGGGGATGAGAAACCTCTCTGACAGAGGTCATAAAAGCCAAGGCTCTGGGAATCAAAGAACCATACAAGGGTGCTAACCCCGCATGGGGTTTGTGCCTTGGCTGGCACAAATTCCTGCCTCTGCTGGCCACAGAGCCTTGGGCTGCTGGTGGACACACTTTGGGGTGAACGTCGGCACCGACTGTCAAGAATGTGCACTTTGAGGAAGCAATGAACAGCTTTAAAAGGCCTTTCAAGGCCACACAAGTGCCTTCAATAAAGCAAGAGATGCAAGCGGCTTGCTGCCCGTGTTTTAATCTAACGATTTTGGGGCTATATCCCTTCAGTGTGATCACAGATGGGAGAAAGCGAGAACATCGGGACTCTGAAGGACGGAAAGTGGAAAAGCTCACGCTGCGCCTGCAGACCTCTGAGAGTGGCTCTTCGTGGACCACTACAGAGAAGGGGACTTCTGGGAGCCCAAAATCAGCAGAGAGGAAGCGCAAATTCCCTGAAGTGGACGCGCAATCAGGGGGCTTTTCTTCCATTTCTGAGGAGGAGGAAGGGCAGGAGCTATTTGTACCACCCACCCTGTCCTTTGAGGACCACCTCTCCTACGACCAGCCCCAGAAAAAGAAGAAAGTCGACCATCCCTCTCTGTCGGCTGGGGAGGAAGACCAATGGCACAGCCCCTGCTTGCTGTGCCACCCCAGCCCCAACAGCTCCTGCGCAAGTCACCAAAGCCCCAGCCCCAGGCGCACGAGTGAGAAAAGGGCAGCGCAGGAGCCACCAGAGGCTCCTCAGCCAAAGAGGGTAAGGTTTGGAAGGGTCTGCAAGTCGGGTGGGATCTGCTGCTCTCGCTCCTCTGCCCCCTGCGGCTTCTTAATGTTCCCCCTGGAGCTGCTGGCTCTGTAAAACCTTGACTGATGAATCTTTTTGCTCCACTCTTGAAACACTTGCCTCTTCACAAAGTCTTTGCTAATCTTAGCAGCCTTTTATGATGCCTCCTATCCATGTTACGGGTATGGGACCTACATGCACATCCTCTCCTTCCAGATCCTTTTGGAAGTTGACATCCAGCTCCCAGACAGCCCCCTGCCACCCATCCAGGCCAGCTGCAGCCCTCTTCCCACTGTTGAGGACATCATCGCCTCCCAGAACATCACAGGTATGGTGGGCTGGCCAACTGGTCTCCAATGGGATGTAGCCATCCTTTGCGGGAGGGACTGGATCAGGGCTGGGTTCCCACCTTTCTGTGGGGTCCGGTGTCCCGCCTCCCGGTGCCCACAGCCTGGCTTTCAGCCAGGTGGTGGCTTCTCTCCCATGTGCTCTTGCAGAAATGAGATTTGCTCCGTTCCCTTCTTACTCCAAGTCTTCCACTTTACAGCACTGGCCTCAGCAGTTGAGGACACCGAAGAGGGCTTTGGAGGCCGCCGGCGGTATTCAAAGACGCCGGTGTTTGCAGGCTCCAGATCCGTCCAAAGGGTCCCAAAGACGATGACGCAAAGCATCCCAGACCTCAAAAACAACATTGGTGGTAAGTACCTTACCCCAAACACTGGAAATAGTGGGGAATGGAGCCTTCTGCAGGCACCTGACCTCTTGACGAGACTGGTGCCTGACGACCCACCAGAGCTATGGCACCCA